AAAAAAAAAAAAGAGAGAGAAAAAATATACTTGGAAATAGACTGAATATTATATCCACTCAGATGGGCTTTGGGGACATCCAAATTGCTTCCTGAAGCCTCCTCAATGATTCACTTAAAGTGTGTTCATAACCTTCATAATATTACAAGATTAAAGCAAACGGGAGAATCTTAAAAACTTCTCCCCACCTATTGGTCAAAAGCCTTGGCACTTAATAAATAGGTAACCTCAACTTTTCTATTTTTGTCTGAAGCACAACTCAGATAAAATATGAAGTAATGATAAATGAGTGTTTTATATTATGGTGTTGCCTGAGTCATGACAGATGGAAGCTGTAAGGGCTTTGCTCTTGTCTGTCTACAGGCTTATGTGTGTATGTTGTATATGTTTGATCTGTACGGTATCACCAAATTAACTTATAAAATTCTTTGAAGGAGTTTTATTCAAGTTGGCTTAGAGATAATGAATGCTATATGTAGTTTGCATAAGTTAAATATTCTTACAATTCCCAGAAATGTAGAAACTAACCCAGATGCTTTTAAAGTTTATGTGACTTGGGTGAATATTTGATAAATGACATTATAATGTTATTAGTTGTTAGTTTAGTAAAAAACACCTTCTTCTACATTATCAACATTAAGTATGAGCATACAGTTTTATTCTACTTGGATTTATTAGTTGGAAAAAATAATATTTTATCTATTGGATTTTTAAGAGTATAAATTCAATCTAAAAACAAATGTGTAAGTAAAAATGAAAAATGTTTGCTATCCACTATTTCATGTTGAGCACAGCAGTAAAACAAAACACCCATATAGTTAACTTTTTGCACATGCTGTGAAAATAGCTAAGAGGGAAATAACTTGAGAGAATGGATAGCTTTGCTTTATGCCAAAGTATGCCTGTCTGAAAACAAAAAAATTGTAAAATCTTACAGTTATGCTAAGTTAAATTAATTAATAAATATTCATTAAATATCTGAATTTTCCTAAATAAGATAAACCACTGTTTCACTTCACTAGTTTCCCAGGTTCCACTGACTTTTTCACTTCTTTACTTGATCTGGCTGTCTGCTGAACAAAAGAATCACTTAATTCTGCAAGCTCCATTCATGGAAATGAAGGTCAGTGTGTACCATTTCTTACTTTTTTTGGGGGGGAGGCGGGGGGCGGCTGGTACTGGGAATTGAACTCAGATGCACTCGACCACTGAGCCACATCTCCAGCCCTATTTTGTATTTCATTTAGAGACAGGGTCTCACTGAGTTGCTTAGCACTTTGCTTTTACTGAGGCTGGCTTTGAACTCCCAATCCTCCTGCCTAAGCCTCCCAAGACACTGGGATTACAGGTGTGCACCACCACGCCTGGCTCATTTCTTACTTTTTTTAACCTTATTTTTATCATAAGTTTTCTGTTTAGGGTATTTTTAGTTACACAAGTACCACTGTGTTACAATTGCCAATAGTGTTCAGTACAATAACATGCTATGCAGTTTTGTAGCCTCAGAGCAATAGACTCTACCATATAGCCTTACATGTGCAGTAGGCTGGACCATCTAGGTTTATGTAAGTACACTCTGATGTTTGCCCAATGACAGAATTGCCTGGATGCATTTTCTCAGAATGTATTCCCATTAAGCAACATGAGTGTATGACATTCCATTCAAAGCCTTGGTAATATGACCAGTGTTTCTAATTATGTCCTGTGAAAAGTAGAAGAGATTCTTCTCAAATTTATGCAAATAACTCTATTGCCATGAAAATAAGAGTATGCTGTAAGAGTTTCTGAATTCTGAAGGAATCTGGGAGAAAACACAAAAGTTTTTGGTTCTGGTAAAAGTTTAAACATTCAAGTTTTTTGAGTTACAGATAGCTTAAGAGAAAAGGGAAAAGGATTCTTGAAATTCAGAAAAGAGAAAAATAATCAGCAGTGTTCCAAAACAGAACCCACAATCATCAAAAAGAACTGTTACTTGACTAATCCCTATGTCTTCTATCATAACAAAGTGAATGAAGCTGAAGACCTCTAGACCAAGATCTTTGATCTTGATTCCTTCCACCTTTCTTTGGGCTGTATGTTCAGCTATCTGAAGAACTGCTTGAAGATGATGGTATACCATGTTCCTTTTTTCTCTTGCTTCTGTTTTCATCTTCAGTATCTGAAGACCAGCATTCCATTTCTACCAGCTGGGTCCAGACCTTTGGGCTCACATTTCCTGCTGATCTTGAAGAACCTGTAGTCGTTCTTGGAAGTTGTTCTGGGTGAGTTACTGAGTGAGTGAAGTAAAGGTGAAGGCCTAGGATGTGACTGTGCACTACTTTAAGACTTTATAAACACTATACACTGAGGCTGCACTAACAATTTTTATTCCTTCAATAATAAATTAAATTTAGCTTACTATACTTTTGTACTTTATAAACTTTTGACTCTTTTATAATAACACAGCTTAAAGCATAAACATATTGTACAGCTGTACAAAAATATTTTCTTTCTTTTTGTTCATATGCTAAAAGCTCTTTTCTATTTTAAACTATTATTTTTGTTTTACTTTTTAAAAATCTTTTTTTTTGTTAAAAATCAAGACCCAAATCCACTCACTAGCCTACACCTATGCAAGATCAAGATCAACAATTTCTGTGTTGTACATCTCCATGTCTTGTCCCACTAGAAGGTATTTAGGTACAATAATAGGCATGGTGTTGTCATCTCTGTGACAACAATGTCTTCTTCTGGAATAGCTCCTGAGAGAACTTCCTGGGGCTGTTTATCAGTTAACTTTTTTTTTTCTTTTTAAATAAGTAGGAGTAAGTCCCAAATAAAAGAAAAAAAAAGAGAGAAAGGGAGAGAGAGATAAATATACAAATCAGTAATGTAGTCATTTACTCTAGTGTTATGTACTATAGATAACTTTATGTGCTATACTTTTATACAACTGGCAGGACAGTAGATTCATTTACAACAGCATCACCTGGATGTGTGATGATGTTAAAACAGCCAACATGTCTCTAAGGGTTAGAACTTTTCCAACTCCTTTATGATGTGGGACCTCAATTGTATATGGGGTCCACTGTTAAATGAATGTAGTTATGTGGCACATGACTATGTTTGAGAATGTGCATAGAATCTGATTTAAGGAGCTATGGTTGACTTTGTAGATCCAATGTTTACAAAGCATGGCTTGATACTTGGCTTATAAACTTCTCTGCTTTACAGGTAAATAAGGAAGCTCATTTCCTGGCAGGTCCAGGAACCTCAGGATATCTTGTAAATCTTGAGGAGAGAATTCACCCAAATCTATAGGTACTAAGGGTGAAGTGCAGTAGTGAGTTCTTGTCTTAGCTCAGTGGCCTTGAAAGGCTCTTAAGAGTCTAATCTGAGATTTTTTTTAAAGGTTTAGCAAAGCAAACTTAAAAAGGCTTATATGGCCAATTAACATTATTACTGCACTTAGGTAAAGGCTGAATGTAATGAACTCAGATTATTTGGTTAAGGATAACTATAACCTTGCATTCATTATTTTTGATTACAAAAGGATTGGTGAGATCTCTAGCAGTCAGAGAAATGCAAATCAAAACCACCCTAAGATACCATCTCACTCCAGTAAGATTGGCAGCCATTATGAAGTCAAACAACAACAAGTGCTGGTGAGGATGTGGGGAAAAGGGTACACTTGTACATTGCTGGTGGGACTGCAAATTGGTGCAGCCAATTTGGAAAGCAGTATGGAGATTTCTTGGAAAGCTGGGAATGGAGCCACCATTTGACCCAGCTATTCCCCTTTTCGGTCTATCCCCTAAAGACCTAAAAAGAGCATGCTACAGGGACACTGCTACATCCATGTTCACAGCAGCTCAATTCACAATAGCAAGACTGTGGAACCAACCCAGATGCCCTTCAATAGACGAATGGATTAAAAAAATGTGGCATTTATACACAATGGAGTATTACTCTGCATTAAAAAATGACAAAATCATAGAATTTGCAGGGAAATGGATGGCATTAGAGCAGATTATGCTAAGTGAAGCTAGCCAATCCCTAAAAAACAAATGCCAAATGTCTTCTTTGATATAAGGAGAGTAACTAAGAACAGAGTAGGGACGAAGAGCAGGAGAAGAAGATTAACATTAAATAGGGATGAGAGGTGGGAGGGAAAGGGAGAGAGAAGGGAAATTGCATGGAAATGGAAGGAGACCCTCAGGGTTATACAAAAGTACATACAAGAGGAAGTGAGGGGAGAGGGAAAAATAATACAAGGGGGAGAAATGAATGACAGTAGAGGGGGTAGAGAGAGAAGAGGAGAGGGGAGGGGAGGGGAGGGGGGATAGTAGAGGATAGGAAAGGCAGCAGAACACAACAGACACTAGTATGGCAATATGTAAATCAATGGATGTGTAACTGATGTGATTCTGCAATCTGTATATGGGAGTTCATAACCCACTTGAATCAAAGTGTGAAATATGATATATCAAGAAATTTGTAATGTTTTGAACAACCAACAATAAAAAAATTAAAAAAAAAAAAGGATTGGTGAGATTGTAGATAGAATGTTTGCTTCAGTGGAAAACAATAATGTACTCTTGTGTGTTCTGAGTTCTGGTTTCTTCCAATACCTGGGTTAGCTCTCCAAACTTTTTATACTCCCAATTTTTCTCTCATCCTCTGATCTGGCATCATTAAGAATAAGAGTTATACTTTCCCAAAACTTTGTATTCTGAAGCTGGGCCATTTGATATGAGCTTCAAAGAAATCACTATGACAGATCATGTATGGGCAGATTTTGTGTCGGGTGCTGTGTAGGCTACTTAGCAAACTCATGGAAATAGTGCATCACCAAAAACATTCAAACTGCAAACCAGGAAATCGGCCAGATTGCCACTTCCATGCTCAAGGCCACCACCTACAAATCTCAACTTGCTGCCCTCTGGATCCAGAAACTGGGTTTCCAACCACTAATCTTTTCTTTTCATAAACATTGCCCTCATGAAATGCTTGCCTGCCTGTGGTTCAGCAAATATTCCCTATTGACAAGTTTCAACATGCTTCAGCTGATATGTAATAAGCAACGGGCAACCAAACAAAAAAATGAACACATATTATTCAGAGAAAAGAAGAATGTCTCTTCTTTCTTTGAGCAAGAGTGGGGACTGACAAAGATTCTCTTTTTCATCAAACTGTCATCAGGCTCCACAGTACTGGCTTTTCAAGTAGGTCCTGACTTTTGGGCTTCCATGTTTGTCTTGACATTGTCCAATTTAATTGTTTGTTTAGCCAGAATCTTCCATCTTTGATATGGGAACACCTGCATATATGATTGGTTTCCTCATCCACCACCATCCTCCAGGTGATGTCTGACTGCCATTGCCTATCTTCAAAAGAGTCTTGATAGATAAATTTAGCCCGAGTTACCCCATTGCTCCTAATGTTTTCTCTGTAGTAATCTTCCATCAACTGACTCCCTCACCCAAGTTGTTCCTTGACTATAATTTCCTTGTTGATTTTGTAGTTGAGCCCAATCTTCCCAATCTTTCTCATATACTGCAAAACCTTGTTGCAGTGGCCCCTACACTTACTGTGATGGTCCCAAGTAAAGTCTACCTTACCACGGTTTAATAAGTGTCAAGAATAATTTTTTATTTAACAGTACTATTTTGGTTTCTAAGGGTACAATGAGACAGGATCTCTTTCATCAGGGGGCTTATACTCTCATGGGTAAAACAATTTATGGGTAAATGATAAGACAGGCATGCACAAAATGGTGGAGAGATTCTGGGGCATTAGTGTTCAGAAGACTCCTAAGGGAGAGGTGCACACAGGAGGAGTCTAGAAGGATGAATAGGGTGAGTCAACTGAGGATAGATGATAAATGAAACTGCTGACAAAACATCAAGGTGTAAAACTGATGGTATTTGACCTTCTTCCCCAAATTTGGCTTATTTCCTTTTCCCAACCTCTTACCTCAAAGCCAAAGGAGACCATAATAGGAATGGTGAACTGTTCCCTTTCCTAAGATCCCAGGAGGAGCAAGCATATATACACAGTTTCCAAGTCAATGTCCTTCTAGGATGAGGTTTCAATACAGGGAATCTATTAAAGCTAAGAAGTCAGTGACTCCGCCTCATGTTTCTCTGATCTGCTTTCTTTCTGATTAGAAACTTTTCTTACATAGCCTCAATTCCAGGCAGTATCGGAACTACTGTGAAGCTTTAGACCTTTGGATCATCTCAATGATATTTAAAAACAAAGCTCCTTTTCTTGGAGTCTTAGGAGGTAGAAAATTTGAAGAATTTTTTTAAATAGTTTCTAATGGAGAAAATTACTATAGTTCTTTCTTGAATTCCAAGGAGATGTCCTTTCAAAGAAATACTAATATTATCTCTATTAAGTACTAATATTAAGGACTGCAGTCATCCATGAACACTACATTTTTTCTTTTGGAAACAGGTAGCCATTCTTTGAATAATATCTAATGCAGTGAGCTGATTGAGTGGCAACCTAGAAAGTTGGTCTCTTTTGCTGTGCATCTTTACTTTGTTAAGCATTAAAGATACAAAAATAAGTTGTAGGCTTTGTCAGGTCTCTGCTGAAGGCAAGATGCCCGTGTAATAGTTGTCCCCTTTCAAATTCTTGGTGGAGAGTGGACAGTGGGCTGGAGGATTTATATGATATCATTGCACCTGGTGGATTCTCAACAAATGTTTATTAAATGATAAAAATGAAAGAAACTCTTTCAAGTAGGTGTGTGTGTGTGTCTGTGTGTGTGTATCTGATAATTTTTTAACTGGTCTTTCTGTTTTTGCCTTTGTCCTCCTACAATTTATTCTTAACAAGCAGCCAGAGTGATCCTGTTAAGACAGAATTCAGATCATCTGAACATGTCTTTCCTTGGTTTAAATCCTTCTTGGCTTCCCATCTCACTCAAAGACAAACTCCTTCAACTACAAGGTGCTGCACCATCTAGCCTTTGTGACTTCTCTGATTTTATATCACATGTCCTTTGCTTAAGTCACTCCTTTCCTTTTGCATAATCTTTCTTGTTGTTTTTAATAAATGCCTGACAGAGTTCTTCTCCAGGGCCCTTGCTGGTCCATCTGTTTGGCATGTCCATCCCTTTCAATATATGAAGATTCCCTCTTTCTGTCCAGTCTTTGTTGAAAGCTGGCCTCCTCAGTGAGGCCTTCCCTGACCATCCTATTTAAAGTCACAGCTGCCTCTCTCCCAGCCCCACCCATTCCCTATTCCTCTTACCAGCATGTGG